TCCTGCTGTAATAATTTGTCTTCTCTCTTTGCTAGTCTATTAATTTTGATAGTCTTTGCAAATGTATCTTTCGACATTATAATAATAGCCCCTTATCCACGATGTTTCATCATTTCAGTTACCTACAGTCAACTGTAGTCTGAAGATATTAAATGGAAAATTCCAGAAATAAACAATTTATGAGTTTTAAATTGAATGCTGTTCCGAGTAGACTGATGAAGTATTACACCATCCCATGCCATCCTGCCTGGGATGTGAATCATTTTTTCTACCAGCATGTCTACGATGTGAACACTCCGTGCCATTGGTTGCTGTGTAGTCGCTTAGCCATCTCAGCTATCAGATCGACTGCACAGTATCACAGTCCTTGTGTTCAAGTAACCCTGTTTTACTTCAAGTCCCAAAGTATAGGAGAAATGATACTGGCAATTCAGATACTTTAGCGGCAGTAAAGTATTGGGTTATTGGAAAATTCATGATACATTTTTGCATAGAAAAACACAGAAAAATACGTTATGGCCAGCAGGTGGTGTGGTGATTAAGGCACTGGACACTCCCACATAGCCAGCCACAGTTCAAGTCCTGGACCTGGTGGCTTGCTTTCTCACTCCCCCTCATCTTCCTCTCTTGTGTTTCCAGTCAAATTTAAATAAATAAATGAATAAATAAAACTAATTATTTTTTTTAAATGTCATGACTTTTCTGACAACCCAATACTTCCTTAAAGTAAAAAGATGAACAATCTAAGTAAAGGGGAAAAAATGTGCTGAGATTACTACGTCTACTGTACAGTAATTAAAGAGACCACATTCTCTTAAGTTTTAATACAGTATATTATAATTGTTATATTGTTAATCTCTTACAGTGCCTAATTTGTAATTAAGCTTAATCATAGTTATGTATGTATGTATTGTTTGAATAGAAAAACTGTAGAGAAAGTTGGCACTGTTAGATAAAGAAAAGGTTGGCAGTGTTTTTATTTTGAGGTAGTCTACTTTTTTGCAAAGAACAATTGGAATAAGTTAAGCCTAGTTTTACCAGATCAAAGTATAAAAAAGGCCACCTGGGCCAGCAGGTGGTATGGTGGTCCGGGCAGCTGGATCCCACATGGCCTACTGTGTGGTTCGAATCGTGGACCTGGGATTTGAAAACACGTCGGATGCATGTGCATGCATGCTTGAAATCCCAGGAGGAAAATGGAGAAGGAATTGCACATGGCCATCCCCTTTGGAGGGCAATTTCTCACTCTCTCTTCCTCCCTCCCTCCCTCCCTCTCCCCCTTTTTCCCTCTCTTTTCCCCCTCTCTCTCTCCAGTGAGTGCGCCTTCAGGCAAATTAAAGAAGAAATATACCATTTAGTCAAGGCTTCCTGAGGTGTGCACAAGACATTTGAGACTATGTATTACAAAATAATACAGCTCTTCATGTGCTAAGATGTATAATTCTTTTTTAAATTATTTTATTTTATTACTTTTAAATTTGACCAGAAAGAGACACAGAGGGAAAGTAAGAAAGCAAGGCCATCCGGTCTGGGACTTGAACCACAGTCGGCCATGTGGGAGTCCAGCGCCTTAACCACCATGCCACCTGCTGACCCCAAGATGTATATAATTCTTTAATTTTTTTTTTCCTACTTCCCTTTCTTTCCCACTTTCCTTTTCTTCTTTCTCTTTTCTGACTTTCTCTCACTGCCCAATCCTACTTCTCCCCTCTATCCCTTCCTTTCGTCTTTCCCTCTTTTTGTTGAAACTAGAAATGCTATATTTTTTTTTCAGTGAAAATGTTAGATGGAATATTCATTGTTTTTCAGCGTTCATTTTCTCCATCTAGTACTGAAATAACTGCGTTAGCGCATCAGTTAGTATATTTGCCAAAACAGTTGGGGTTAAATGCAAGGTTCCTACATTGATACCATGCTAGAAATATTGTTCTCTGTTTATTTTAATACAGGTATACTTGAAAGACATTTCATTTTTAAAATTATTGTTTAGGAATTCTCTGTTATTTATCATGATCCCAGGATGTAATTCTCTAAAGAAGAAACTGGCAAATTATTTTAATGCTCTTATTGTTTTTGTTTCTAGCTTATTCTACTAAGCTCAACAAATTTCCTGTATTTAATATTAATGATGACTTGAATGATCTGTGTACCAGTGCAGTAAGCCCAAACACTACCAAAGCCACGCGGTACGCTCTGAACGTGTGGCGATATTGGTGCCTGACCAACGGGCTCAAAGATCACACGGACATCACCAAGGTAAGGGACTTCGGGGTTTACTTCTTTCAGCCACCTTCACTGAGCTCCCACATGCCAAACGCTGTACCCGGCATTGCAGGGAACACAGGGCTGTTGCCCTCGGCCTGGGGAAGCTTTGAAAGATCTGAATGTAGAAAGAAAAGTACCCATAGTACAAAGCAGGATTTAATCAATGTTTTATGAATTTATAGATCAGAAATGCCTGGAAAGTTCATATGGATACATTAAATTCAGTTTGGTGAGACTAGAGAGAGGATTGATATTTCAGCTGCGTTTAGAGGGAGAGCTGGTATTTCAGTAGAAGTCGGGGAGGACAGGAGTCTTTCAGGGTGAGTAAGGTTTAGTAAAATTTGGGGCAGTAGGCTCACTTGCCTACAGAGGAGGCCTCATCTCTGAGTATAGTGGTCTATAAAAACAATTCGATGACCTGTAAGGCAAGATAACTGCGTGTGGACGCTGGGAAGGCACTGAAGTTTTATTTATGTTTGGTAGGGAGAGACTATTTGAAAAGATTGTTGCAGGGAAGAATGGGACTATTACAATAGGGAGAAAACTCTGATTATAGGACCCGTAAGCATCTTGGGACTAGCAGATGGCATAATAGTTAAATCGCTGGACTCCCACATAGTCGACTGTGATTCAAGTCCCGGACCCAGTGGTTTAAACCTTACGCTGGGTGCGTGTGGGTGTGCGTGCCCGAAATCCCAAGAGGAGAATGGAGGAGAAGGGATTGTGGCATGATCATCCCCGCTGGGAGGGTGATTTCTTGCTTTCTATCTCTCTGTCTCTGTCTCTCTGACTAGCGCACATGCCCTATAGCAAAAATCTCAAAAAAAAAAAAATCTGTAAACATTTAAGGGTTAACATATGGGAAACCACTTAAGGTTTTTTGAGCAGATAGGAACATAATAAGTGATATTTTTAAAAAATTAGAAATGATGATGAGAAAGTTATTTAATGTCCTTGGTCCCTCATTTTCCAGTTTATAAAATGAGCTCTTAATATCTCTGCCAACCTTAAATGTTGGAGATTTGTTAGAACGAAAAAATCTTGTACATGTGGAAATAGAACAGGAAGATACTGTATTTTGATTTAGATACAGTAAATCTAAATCAGATATCAAAGTGGACATGTCCAATAAGCTGCTGGGAATGTGAGATTTAAAACATGGTAAGAAGAAATAAGACCAAAAAAGAAATGGTGGTGGGCTGGCAGGTGGCGTGGTGGCTAAGGGTGCTGGATCCCCACATGGTCAACCATGGTTTAAGCCCCAGACCTGGCGGCTTGCTTTCTCACTTTCCCTTTCTCTCTCTCTCTCTCTCTCTCTGGTCAAATTAAAAAAATAATGTATAACAAATGTAATTAATTAAATAAATAAATCTTTTTTTTTTAAATGGTGGAAATGTTGGGAACCAGCAGTTAGCGTAATGGCTATGTCGCTGGATTCCCATGTAGTCGACCGCAGTTCGCGTCCCGGACCCGGTGGCCTAAAACAAAACCGGGTGCATGTGCGTGCGTGCCCAAGATCCCGAGAAGAGAATGGAGGAGAAGGGATTGCGGCGTGGCCATCCCCCCTGGGGGGTGATTTCTCGCTTTCTGTCTCTATCTCTCTCGTTCTGGCGAGCGCACGCACCGTATAGCGAAAAAACCTCTCCAAAAAAAAAAAGGTGGAAATGTTAAAGCTGGAAGTACAGATTTAGAGGTCTTGCAAATGAAGGTAGTAGTTGAAACCCAAGGTCTGCTGAGATCTCAGAGTTTGGGTGGCGTGATTGGCATGGTATCCTGGATATCTACTGTGACAGGCCCTTCTGCTGGGAAACACCCATGGAACCAAAATAAAGGCAAGGGGTAGAGGATGAGCAGTGAGCACGTATGAAAAGCAAGATTCTCCTGAGGGCATCAGTTGATGACATTATTAAAGAAGGGAAGAACACAAGTAGATGAACTAATGAATTCTTGCTTAGGGACCTGCAGTTAGCATAATGGCTATGTCGCTGGACTCCCACATAGTCCACCGTGGTTCGAGTCCCAGACCCGGTGGCTTAAACTCACGCCAGGCTTGTGTGTGTGTGCGTGCCCAAGATCCCAAGAGGAGAATGGAGGGGAGGGGATTGCGGTGTGGCCATCCCCCCTGGGGGGTGATTTCTCGCTTTCTGTCTCTCCATCTCTCTTTGTCTGTCTGGCGAGCGCACACGCCCTATAGTAAAAACCTCTCCCCAAAAAAAGAGGTTCTAGCTTAGTATCACATAAACCCTTGCTCCTAGTAAGGCTTATGTTAATAATCTTTTAAGGGAGCCTTCCAAAAATGTAGATATTCAAATTTATTTATTTATTTATTTATTAGGTGAAAATCAGCTAAAGATGGGGCCAGCAGGTGGTTGGTGTGTAAGGCACTGGGCTCCCATGTGGCCAACCACGGTTTGAGTCCCAGACCTGGTGGCTTGCTTTCTTGCTTTTCTTTTTTCTCTCTCTAAGTCTGGTCAGATTAAAATATAATAATAACAAATGAAATTAAATTAATAAAGAATTCTTAAAAACTAAAAAGATAAGTATAAATAACAGACAATAGGGCCAGCAAGTGGCATGGAGGTTACCATACTGGATTCCACATGGCTAGCTTGTGGTCCAGTCTCGGACCCAGCAGCTTGAAAATCATGCTGGGCACATGTGCATACATGTGTGTTCAAAATCCTGAGACGACACAGGAGGAAAAGGGATTGTGGTATGGCCATTCCCCCCTGGGGAGTGATTTCTCCCCAACCCCAACCTCTTTCTGGCGAGAACATCTGTCCTGTAGCAAAAACTGAAAAGGGAAATTAAAAGACAGTAGATTTAGGAAAAACTTTAAGAAGTAGATTATAGACTGAATATGAAAGACATTTTTATAGTAATAAAAAGAGCCAGAAAAATAAGCCGCTGGGAAACACCCACGGGGCCAAAAACAGGCAAGAGGTAGAAGGTTAAACTGGAGCAGTGAGCACATTTGAAAAGCAAGTCTCCCTGAGGACATCAGTTGATAACATTATTAAAGAAGAAGGGAAGAAGACAAGACATATTAACTAAAAATGCTCTAGCAGATTTGAAAATAAATTGAAATTTTCATTTCTGGCCACAAGGGAATAGAAGGATCTAGAATTGTCCTCCTCTTTAACAGCTAGAAAACAAGACACAGTCTATGAAACCAATCTTTTCAGACACAGCAAGCATCAGAGGATGTGACAATCTGGCTATCGTGTTGAGTTGAGGGAAGACAGAGATCAGAGTTCGGGGAGACAGAGGGCATAAGCAGGCTAGAGAGAAATTTCAGCGTTTAATTGAAAGTGATAATAACAAAATCCAGAATTCAACAATGTAAATTTTAGAACTCCAATAAACTATTGCTAAGTATGGGAGTCTGTGACCCATACCCAGGAAAAAAATCAGTTACTTTTCATTCCCAGTCAATTTGGAGGGGCAGATTTACCCTCATGCTTGAAGCAGCCAAAAACACAGATGCAAGATATAAAACAGAGTTTTGCTAGTCACTGTATAACAAGCAAAGCCCAACACACTTGTCAAATTAAAAAAGTGGAGCTGAGTGTCTAGAGAGAGACCAAAGTGGCTAGAGCTGTTATGACAGCATACTCAAAAGCAGAGAGTTACACAGAAAGTGCACCCGAGAGATCGGAAGTTAGTTCCCCTCAAATACTCAGCTGGGTACTGATCACTGTATGTGTGCAGAGAAGCTGCCTGAGGCTGATAAAGCACTGCCTTCAAGGATTAGAGGCAGATACCTGGCATTCACACAGAATTGGAAAGAACACCTATTCCCTCTCACCGTACAGGAAAAATCTTAGTATTCATGAGGGACGGTACTCAGAACAGTCTTACATCAGGTGTCAGGAATAATTGGGCCAAGATTGAGCACTGTTTTAATGCCATACAACAGATCTTAAACCAAGAGTCAAGAGAATCAAGTGATTTTCAAGAAATTGTGTCTCAGAACAAAGTTTAAGAATATGTTTAAGGGGAACAGCAGATGGCATAACGGTTATGCCTCTGAACTCCCACATGTTGACTGTGGTTTGAGTCCTAGATCTGGTGACTTAAAACTCACACCAAGTGGGGCTGGCAGGTGCCATGGTAGTTAAAGGCACTGGACTCCCACATGGCTGAGCCTGGTTCTAGTCCCGGACGTGACGGCTTGTTTTTTCACTTTCTCTCTCTCTCTCTTTCTTTCTCTCTCTCTCTCTCTCGCTTTCACTCTTGCTCTTGCTCTTGCTCTGTCCCTCTCTGGTCAAATTAAAATAAATAAATAAATAAAGTTAAATAAATAATAACTTAAAAAAAAAAAACAACTTGGGGGCCAGTAGGTGGAGTGGTGGTTAAGGGCACTGGACTCTCACATGGCTGACTGTGGTTCAAGTCCTAGACCTAGCAGCTTGCTTTCATTCTCACTTTATCTCTCTCTCTCCCTCTCTGGTCAAATTAAATAAATAATAAAGTTAAATAAGATCATTCTTAAAAAAAAAAAAATGCACACCAGGCACGTGTGCCTGTGTGCCCCAGATTCTGAGAGGATAATAGAGAAGAGATTGTGGCATGGTCATCTTTTCTTGCTTTCTATCTGTCTCTCTGGAGAGCATATGCGCCTAATGGCAAAAATCTCTTAAAAAAAAAGTATATATATATATACACACATAGGAACATAGAAATATCTAGAACCCAAGAAATAAAATTCAAAATGTCTGGCACCTAAACAAAAACTATTATTGGGGCCAGCAGGTGGCATGGTGGTGGTGGTTAAGGTGCTGGACTCCTACATGGCCCACCAGTTCAAGTTCTGGACCTGCGGACTTACTTTGTCACTTTCCCTCTCTCTCTCGCTGTGGTCAAATTAAAATATGATAATAATAAATTAAATAAATAGTTCTTTTTTAAAAAAAATCATTAAAGAAGCAAGAATATATCCATTAAAAAATAAATCATTTTGGGAGCCCGCAGGTGGCCTGATGGTTAAA